CTCTCTCAGTGAGAAGTTACCAGTTTTAGTCCGAGAATTTTTTGCTGGTAAATTTTGGTAAATGTGTCAAACGATCAGCTGTAGTGTGTTTGGCAACCAAATTGTAAACAAAAGAAAAGTGCACTCTGCAAATTCATGTTGAAAAGAATTTAATTACTTGTTTAAGTGGATTCTAATTAATTTGAAAGTATTTTTGGTTATTTACACGTGTGAGCTTAGTGTGTTTACATACAAAGTAAGCTGAAATTTACAACCGAAATTTGGAGGTTATGTTGAAGTTGACAGAAGTTACCATTTTTTACTAGAAAGCGATCCCGTACTTTTCAATGTTACTCTCTCGCTCTGAGCGAATTTTTATTTTTTGACAGTTTTACTAGTTTTAGTCCGAGGAATACGGGATTGCACCTAATAAAAGTAAAGGTGAGTACGTACATAGATAAAGAAAAGGATAAAGGCAAAGGTAAAAATAAAAACAAAAACAAAGTTGCGTAAAGATAAAGGCAAAAATGAAGACCAAGATAAGTTTAAACACTTTACTTATATAAGGGAAAAGGTGAAAAGGAATATGTATATAAAGAATATGATAAATATAAAAATAAAAACAAAGATAAAGATAAATATAAAGAAAAAGATGAGGATGAGCATACCGATAGAAGTATAGATGAAGATAGAGGAAGAAAGATTAAAATAAAGGTAGTTGTAGAGAAGAGGATATAGATATAGGCACAAAGACTCTATCTCGGGACTTATCGATATAATAATCGATATTTTGTCGGTTTGGTGATCGAAATTTTTATTAATTTTGTTATCGAAATTTGTATCGATATTTTTCTTGATTCTATCGATATTTTCGGAACTTATCGATATAATGATCGATTTTGTTATCGATATTTTGATTGCTTTTGTAATCGATTTTGTTGTCGATATTTTTATCGATTTTCTTATCGATATTTTTATCAGTTTTGTTATCGATGTTGTTATCGATGTTTTTATCGATGTTGTTATCGATATTTTTATCGATTTTGTTGTCGATATTTTTATCAATTTTGTCATCAAAATTTGTATCGCTTCTGTTACCGATATTTTTAATCGATTTTGTTATCGATATTGTTATCGCTTTTGTTATCGATATTTTTATCGATTTTGTTATCGACTTTGTAATCGATTTTGTAATCGACTTTGTTACCGATTTTGTAATCGATTTTTTGATAGATTTTGTAATCGGTTAAGTCATCGATTTTGATATCGATGATTTTATCGATTTTGTTATCGATTTTGTTATCGATTTTGCTATCGATTTTGTTATCGATATTATTATCGATTTTGATATCAATATTTTCATCGATTTTTTTATCGATGTTATTATCGCTTTTGCTACCGATATTATTATCGCTTTTGTTATCGATATTTTTTTCTTCCTGTGTGCTTTCGTTTTTGACTTGGATATACCACGTATTCCACGTTTAAATTTAGCGGCTGTATCTTTGATACAGCCTGCATACCAAGACGAAGGCGCTGGACTGTTCCTTTTTTTTATGTTCAATAATTTTTAGAAGAAAAGGATAATAATATAATAGAAAAGCACACCCGGTTTCTTTATGTACCGCATTGAAATTTAAGCAAACAATAATCACCATGGTTAAAATTCAAAAAATTAAGAAGCTTTCTTATCACAATCAAACGACAAAATCAAAAACAGTTTTAATGCACAAAACAATTCAAACGGCAATTATGCAACAAAAAAATTAATTATTTTTATTATTTTTAACCAAGTTTTGAACCGCTTTCCAAGTCCTTATTTTTTTTAATAGGCACTTGATTTTGTCGTTTAATTGTTTTTTGTTTAAACAGCCTTATTTAAAAAAAATAGGCACTTGGAAAGCGGTTAAAAAATTGGTTAAAAATAATTAATTTTTTTGTTGCATAATTTGCCGTTTGGCTTGTTTTGTGCATTAAAACTGTTTTTGACTTTGTCGTTTATTTGTTTTTTTTTTAAACAGCCTTATTTAAAAAAATAGGGACTTGAAAAATTGGTTAAAAATAATAAAAATAATTAATTTTTTTGTTGCATAATTTGCCGTTTGGCTTGTTTTGTGCATTAAAACTGTTTTTGATTTTGTCGTTTTTTTTTTTTTAAACAGCCTTATTTTAAAAAAATAGGGACTTGGAAAGCGGTTTAAAAATTGGTTAAAAATAATAAAAACAATAAGTTTTTTTGTTGCGTAATTTGCCGTTTGGCTTGTTTTGTGAATTAAAACTGTTTTTGATTTTGTCGTTTAATTGTTTTTTGTTTAAACAGCCTTATTAAAAAAAATAGGCACTTGGAAAGCGGTTTAAAAATTGGTTAAAAATAATAATAATAATAATATCCCAACGGTTTTTACCCTCCATTCCCGCCCATCCGCACGAGGGGCGTAGTCCGCATGACGTACGGAACCAATATTTTAAATTTTTGTGCCGAGTCACGATAGGCAGGAGTTTGTTAAGTGTCGAGATCTAAAACTGTTCAGCTACAGAACTAAATTCATCAGCTGATTTTATGTATTTATGTCAATAATTCACTTATTGAGAGAGGAGAGTATCGCTTTCTTAATGCTGAAAAGCGGATCTGATATATCAAACGTGCTGGAATGAGAGTTAAAATCCTGGCATAAGCAACGGAGTGGGTCATGCACTTCAAAATTGGTTTTACAAGCTTTCAGAAATATGGGACAAAAGTGTCTTGATACGCGTGAGGGAACATTAAAGCTTACATCAGCCAGAAGAGACGGACTTGAAATTGAGCTGTCAGTAATTTAACCATAAAAATTATACCAAGCATTTCCCTGCGACTGGCAAGTGTAGGAAGGTTAATAAGTTTTAAGCGACTCGTATAAGGTGGAAGACTATATTGAGAATCCCATCGGAAATTTCTTAAAGCAAAAAGCAGGAATTGTTTTTGAATTGATTCTATTTTAATTTTTTTGTTGCATAATTTGCCGTTTG